TCATGGGCATCACTTGGGGCCCCAAAGTTAGGCTCTGTGCTTAGTTGAAAGCTCTACTGTCACTGACTGAAATTATTTTTTAAATAAATTTTTTAAATAAATTTTTAAAATAATTATTTATTTTATTTATTCATTCATTTATTTTTTAATTTGACCAGAGAGAGACAGAGGATGAGAGTCAGAGAGAGAAGAAGTGAGAAAGCAAGCCATCAGATTCAGGACTCGAACCCTGGTCGGCCATGTGGGAGTGTCCAGCGCCTTAACCACCACGCCACCTGCTGGTTCCATGAAATCCTTAATACTGTTGGGACATTTTACTGTTTTGGGCCACACAAATCTTATAGTCAGTCATGGTCCTTGCTGTGGATATTGAAACATGAAGAAGACCGGTGTGATGCAGGGTGGGTATGAGTATGAGTATGAGTGGGTGGTGTCCTTTGTGAGCTCCTCGCTTGGCACTCTGCAGATATTTTCCCACAGAGGCCATCCGTAAAGGCAGATGAAGTCAATGGAAGCTCCATACTCAACCCCATTTTCCTTATCGTTAAAACGGGGACAGTGGCACTGACCCTTGCATATTGCCATGCGTATTGGGTAAAATTATGTGTAAAGTATCTCTCAGAGCATCTGCTAAACACTTGGTGTTGGCTAAGTGAAATCCATGGGAGGCATGAGCTTGAACTTGGTTTTAGTTTGGAAATCAAATCGGCCATACTGCTTTATTTATTTATTTTTTAAAGTATGCCCTTGGTTAAGTGACAGTTTCTCCCAGTCTCGGTTCCTTTATCTGTAGAACGGGGATGTTAATATTTACCCTGGAAGGCTGTTTTGAGATTTGAATAATTTAATGCACTTAGAGAACCTAGTTTATCACCTAGTATCTAGTAGGACCTCAAAATAACAATTCTTAGTCTGTTTCCCTAGTTCTCTTCTAAAACTATTTCTACACTCAAAACAATCGCTTGACAAATGATGTTTGGGTAGGATCCCTAAGTTCCCATGCACCATAAAACCTCCTACATACAATGTGTCCTACTAACAGTAACCTCTTTTTCTGTTAGAGTAATTTGAGGATTGCATTCGCCCTGTAGCTCAGTGGTTAAGGGAGCTGGATCCCACCTGATCAACCATGGCTCAAACTCTGGCACCAGTGGCTTGACAGACATAATGGGTGTGTATGCATTTTTGCCCCAAATTCTGATAGGAAAGAGTTGTGGTGGGACCTGGCCCCATTGCGGGGTTCTCTTTGTCTCTGGCAAGTACATGTACTCTCTGTCAGTTAAAACAAAATTGAGGGTTAGGATTATTTTTCCTTCTTTGTTAGAATATGCATTCCTTGAAGACAGAGACAACGTTTTATTTATCCCTTATCATAGAACACTTTCAAATATGTTAGAATTAAAGTTGAATGAACAATGATAGTAAGTTTCATAATACTCCTAAATGATCAATTATCAATTAGCCTATCAGTGACGAAGGGATAGAAGAGGCCCACATAGCCCCATCTCTGGCATTAAAGGCCTTTTTATCCTTGCCTGTCACTCATGGCTCTTACTCTGTCCTCCTTGGGTGTGGTTCTTGTTCCACTAACAAACCCATTCCATCACGGAACCTAACTTAGCTTTGTGTAACCAGTCATCTTCCTTGGCAACAACCTGTGTATAGGCCACTGGAGAAAGAGCTTCCTGGACCCCCAACAGCTGAGTTAGAATTTGGTGCCTCTTTGAATTCAAAGGGGTCTCAGAACTGTGACTTTAATTATTCAGGGGTTATGGGTCTCTTTAAGAACCTTCTGATCGTTATGGACATTCTCTAGAAAAATACATTCAATATCTTAGTTACAATTTCAAGTTCTCAGAATCCCTGAAGTCCTTAGACCTCACATTAAGAATTCCTGTTAGAATAGCCCAGAAAACTGATTTAGCAATGTGAAAGATTCAGGTTTCCTGGTAAGTATCAGTCACAACAGAACAACAACAACAAAAAAACAATTACAACTCTCCAGATCTAACCCCAAGGTTACCCCCAAGGGCCCAGTCCCAGGCAGTAATGGTAGAGAGGCTTCCAGCCAAACAGTGGCTACTCTCTGGTGAACCTATGTTCAGCCAAGTAAAATGAAGCTTTGTTTGATAATATCGTTTACATTTCCAAATCCTGGGTATCAAGCTTTCTTCCTATCCGTTGTGGCCCTTCCTAAGTTTAGCCAGCTAGTGTAATGGAGTAACCATGGCAACAGCCACCTGCCTATTTAAAACAATCTCCATTGCTAAATAAGGAAGCCTGAAGAAAATGGCTGTTCGCCTGCCTCTCAGTGGACAAATTAGGCACCTCTGGGTATTTTGGACATGGGCAAGCAGGCAGGGCAGAAGCAGCATGGGCTCACATTTCTTAATAGGAAGTGTTTGGTGACCATGTGAAACAGCGGATCCCTTGACCCCTCCGCGTCTTCACTTAGTTTGGGCAAGCACATGTGATTCCATGCATCTGTCAGCATGGGGGGACCCCAGCACCTTGACTTCAACAGGCAAAGGGGGAGACATAAACCAACCTCAAAGAATGGTCTTGTCACTGCGATCTCAGCAAGCTGGATGGGAAACAGCTATGCGGATCACAGTGAATCTGTTCATTCTTTGCACTGAACGCCACACTGCGATTTTTTTTTTTCTGACAAATGTATCTTTCTAATTATACTTAGTTGTGTGACTGGTTGATGATTTCTCTATTTACATCATCTGTTGTTCTGTTTACTGAATTTCAGAATATGGAGATGTTTCTTCCTCTCTCTGCTTCCTTGTTCTCTGTAAACAACAGAGGTCTTGCTTCTATGTCATGCCAAGAGACCCTACAGCTGGCCTCACCCAAGGGCTTGCCCTTCTCCAAGCGCGCTGTACTCTCACCCCTTCGCATATTCCTGTGCATTTGGCTCTTTCTCCCCGAGTTGCCTTTCCCTTTTGGTCAATCTGAAAAATACATACAGTCCCCTGGTGTCTACAGGGGAGTGATTCCAGAACTCCCTTGGATACCAAGATCGATGGATGCCCAAGTTTCTTACATAATATGGTGCAATATTTGCATATAACCTACTCAGTCTTCCTACAGACTTTAACTAATTCCTAGATTACTTACGACACCCTGTACAATGTAAATTGTATTAGTTATAGATGTAATTGTAGGTAGTTGTTCAACTGTATTGCTTAAGGAAGAATGACAAGGAAAGAACGTCTGTCCGTGTTCAGTACAGATGCGAGCGTGACCTAACGTCACAGCACACGTCACTGGCGATGCTCCCTCTGTGTGATGGAGCCTGTGAATAGGGAACCTGCAGACGGCAGGGCTGACTGTACTTATTTTCCGCGCCTGGCTTGGGCCTCTCCGTCACTGAGAAGAACTCCACTCCCCGCTCCATGCCCTCGCTTTGTGTTCCGAGGGGTCACCTCTGTTCATGTCACATAACGCAAACCAGTATGCACTTCTGCTTTCTGGCCTGTTTCTACCACTGCGTCCCCTACAGGGCCCACTCCAAACACAGACAGGACAGCGTCTGGTCTGTAGTATGTTTTCGGAAGGTACTGTTAAATGAATGAATGGATCTCACAGACATATGGCATCTTGATAGGCCCACGTGCGTGAGGATGTGTCAGGGGACTTGTGTGAAAAAGGACTTTAAAAATCTATGCAATGAATGGTAGAGTTGCATTTGGAAAGGGGATTGTGCATGTACCTGGGAGTGCAAAAGCCATGAGAGGAGACGCAGTTGAGTTGCACATTTGTGCCTGTAGTAGCAGGGGCTGGACGTACACACGTGAGAGGTGTGTAGTGAGTATTTAAGGGCAGGCTGTGCAAGACGGCAGGAAGGTGCGGGCCGTGACAGAGCGAGCACCCTCATACACTTAGTCACCTGCGACTGCACCCCTTGGGTCCCTCTTCCTGAAGCTAAAGGAGCTTCACTATCAGTTTCTGACCCCTGGAAACACCTTCCTTCTTCTTGGTATCCTCCCAGGCTGTGGAGTTAGGGCAAAGGAGGAATGAAACCTGTGAGCTCTTTGGACGTACTGGGCTTTCAATGAAGGTCTTCAGATAACACTAACCTCTGCTTTGGAGAGAATTCTGTGGGCTACATAAAAGTAGGTCCTTTCAGACTTAAAGACTGAGACCAAATTATTCTCCACCCTCCTCTCCACCTGCCTGAAGTTGGAGGTGGAATTCGGGGCACGCAGTGCAACAAGACGAAAGAGCAAAGATAGATGTTAACCAATGAGAAGAGAGAGAAAGGAGCTGCAGGAGAAAGGTAGTTGAACATTCCCGGGGGGAGCGACATGCCAATCACAACTCTGTTCTGGCTAATTTCCCTCCGTCAGCAAGAAGGGTTTGGTTTCCTTCGCAAACCGCCTGGTTTTCTCCTACTCATTTGGAACCTAACATCCAGGCTTCACACCGAGGACCCAGGCTGAGGCGTGACCTGGTGGTGTCTGCCTCTTCTGCCTTTGCAGGGCCTCTCTGCTGCTGCCCTCTGCCGTCAGGGGAGGTGGAGGCCTTGCCCTCCTGGCCCTCCCTGTCCAGGCCCCGGAGCTGCCACATCCTGTCTGAAATGGAGAGAACCAAGGCCCTTTCCACCCTTCTGTCTCCTCCCTAGAAAAATCACAGGGGCGGCGGTCGAGGACTGGGAGTGAAGAGCGGAACCTTTCCAGAAAGCGAGAGAGCCCCAGGAGGGCGTTCTAGTTAGCCAACAGCAGGCATCCCTCCCAAAAGGCTGCTGCTCCACACCCCTCCTGACCCAATCTCTCCCTCTGCACCCATCCTTCAGGAGGAGCCAGGCAGCCAGCCTGGGCAGGTTTCTGACATGTTATTTTTTCCTTGAAAATGGAAACCCTCCTTCCGGCAATGCAGCAGGAAAGCCAAGTCCCTTGGTGGTCAGGCCAAGAACATTTCCGGGAGAGCAGGTGGGAGGTCTCTGGCCGGCCAGCTGGGGCACAGGGCAGCTGGGCCTGCAGCCCTCTTACCTGCTGTTGAACTTCTCCGGGTGTTTCTCTCTCATCATGTGGAATCTGTGTGCGATGGACGCATCCTGAAAGTGAAAGGGAGGAAAGTAGATCCCTGGTTAGTGGACACGGCCCTCGATGTGGAGGGAAGGGACATGCACAAGCCCTCACTGTGTCCCCCAGCCCTGAGGCTCCATCTCAAAGGGGAGGCTCCAGTCACAGCCGAGGCTCCCGTGGAGGCTCAGCACCAAGTCTGAGGGTGTAGTCAGTGTCACCAATGCCCTGAGAGCCTGTGCTGGCTGGCTCTGGAGCCTGTGCCACCACTCTGCCCTCAGCCTGGTGAGAAGCAGATGTGTCATTCAGGAGTGATGAGGGAGAAGCTGTTGGTTTTTGAAGAGAGAGAGTGTCTGGGTCTGTAAGCAGTTAGGGAGCACAAGCCCACGTGTGGGGTGGAGCAAAACTCTTTTTAAAACTTTGGAATATTTGGACTCACAAGAATGTGCAAAAATAGCACAGAGTTCCTGTGATCCTTTTGCCCAGCTCCCCGCAATGACATCTTACATAATTATGGTGCATCGGAACCAGCAGTTAGCGTAATGGCTATGTTGCTGGACTCCCACATGGTCGACCACAGTTCGCGTCCTGGACCCGGTGGCTTAAACTCACGCCGGGCGCGTGTACGTGCGTGCCCAAGATCCCAAGAAGAGAACAGAGGAGAAGGGATTGCGGCGCGGCCATCCCCCATGGGGGGTGATTTCTCGCTTTCTATCTCTCTGTCTGGCGAGCGCATGCGCCCTATAGCAAAAAAACTCTAAAAAAAATTATGGTGTATCATCAAAGATAGTAAAGCTAATGAATAGATGCTATCATATATCATATAGTAACTTCCTATCGTCCATATTGATGGGAATGATTAACGGCATTGGATAACATGCTTAATAGATAATAATAAAAAAAAATCCAAGGAATCTTCACAAAGTTCATGGAAAATGTGTACTATGGAGAAAACTATATGTACAAACAAAAACAAATTTGCACCAAAATAAGTACTTTAATTCCATCTTTTCAAGAACTTCTTGAAATCCCCTCATATTAAACTTCTGGATTCTGCTGATTTTTTTTAAGTTTAACAAATTTATTTACTTTTCCCATGAGCATAAGAGAAAAAAAATACAGACACACACACACACACACACACACACACACACAGAGAGAGAGAGAGAGAGAGAGAGAGAGAGAACTCCTAAAAAGCTCTGGAAGCCACCATCTACCTTCAGCCTCAACCAGACCCAGATCACGCACTTGCCCAGCATACTCAGGGAGGTCTCTGGTTGTGAACCTAGAACCCAACTACCATGGCGATGGTAGTCAGCCAATCTGAGCATTGAGCTTTACTGTCAGCCAATCAGAGCATTGCACTTTTCTGTAAGCCAATTAGAGCATTGCACTTGACTGTTGCACCAGCCCTAGCTTCCTTTTCTTGATCATTATCTTCATCATCATATTCAAAGGCAGCTCTCCAAGGTCAATAAGAGTCACATTACCACTTCCGATGGACATTTCGTTACCCCGTGAGCACAATCCTTCACTGCCCTATTGACCACTTGTACCTCAGGACTCACAGCTGGGTTGGCTCCCACCACACCAGTCTTTTGGACGCTCTGTTCTCTGGTCAGAACCTCTGGTCAGAGCCTCTGTGGCCCACGCTCCACATCACGGGCCCGCTCATCAGCTCTCATGATGGTGTCCAGCATCCTGATGCTAATGGGCCACATGTGGACCTTGAGACCCAGCCCTGAGCTTCGAGCTGAAAACTGAACTCACCTTTCCTCTTCAGACTTGGTCTCTCACCCTCATTAAGGGTCTCACCTTTCAGCAGAAGCAAGTGAAACACAGAAAGAGAGAGAGAGAGAAAAAGAGAGAGAACTCCTAAAAAGCTCTGGAAGCCATCATCTACCTTCAGCCTCAACCAGACCCAGATCACGCACTTGCCCAGCATACTCAGGGAGGTCTCTGGTTGTGAACCTAGAACCCAACTACCATGGCGATGTTAGTCAGCCAATCTGAGCATTGAGCTTTACTGTCAGCCAATCAGAGCATTGCACTTTTCTGTAAGCCAATTAGAGCATTGCACTTGACTGTTGCACCAGCCCTAGCTTCCTTTTCTTGATCATTATCTTCATCATCATATTCAAAGGCAGCTCTCCAAGGTCAATAAGAGTCACATTACCACTTCCGATGGACATTTCGTTACCCCATGAGCACAATCCTTCACTGCCCTATTGACCACTTGTACCTCAGGACTCACAGCTGGGTTGGCTCCCACCACACCAGTCTTTTGGACGCTCTGTTCTCTGGTCAGAACCTCTGGTCAGAGCCTCTGTGGCCCACGCTCCACATCACGGGCCCGCTCATCAGCTCTCATGATGGTGTCCAGCATCCTGATGCTAATGGGCCACATGTGGACCTTGAGACCCAGCCCTGAGCTTCGAGCTGAAAACTGAACTCACCTTTCCTCTTCAGACTTGGTCTCTCACCCTCATTAAGGGTCTCACCTTTCAGCAGAAGCAAGTGAAACACCCCTTCTTTGCTCAGGCCCCATAGAGTCACATGGGTTTGATATGGAGGTGACAGAAATAAGGAAAAAAATATAGAAGCCCATTTGTGGAGTATGTGCCTAAAAGATATCTAAATGCCATGTGGTGAATTTTCAGCTGTTTGTATATTCACTCCACAGGGATATTTCTGAGTTGGTATTTTTTCTTTAACATCAGGAGGCATAGTTCAGTGAAGACGCTCTTTAGAGGCGGTACTAGGTACGGTGCCTTGTGCCCAGCACAGAAGTAACCCCAGACAACAGGGTGCTTCGAAAAGCAGAGATGGCAAGTGAAGAAGGTGGGCTTCTGTTGTGGATGGCAAACACTCCTTGCTAAAATAGTTTTGGGATTTTAACGATTAAACTTAAGCTATTGGTTTAGTTTTTAGACATATCCCGAGCTGAAGGTCTTGGTGAGGCACCCGGTGAGGCACAGCGTGCAAACCCCAGCGAGGCCTCTGCCTCCTGGCACCTGCTCAGCCCACGCAGCTTCCCTGGACAGCAGCACTTCGTGTGCTGGTTCTGTGCCCACCTCCCTCTCGGAGCCAGTCTCAGTGAACGCTCTCAATACGATTCTTGTGCAATTTGTCAAACGCTTCTCAAGAATTCAAGAAAACATCTCATCTACTTGTGTTCTTCTGAAACACTCATTTTCTTCTGCCAGAAAAAGAAAAGGGGAAAGGCAATCACATGTTGCCGGCACGATCTGTACTTCGCTCCCCTCCCACCCCCAGCACTGCTGCACCTGGCGCCCGGCTTCTCCTCCTGAGGCTGCACCAGGCCCTCTCTTCTCTGTAGTCTGACTGTCCTTGGTTTTTCCTACTAGGGTTTGCAAAGCTTCTTTCCACAAGGACCAGCCTTTACGATATTTTTATGTGTTAAGCATATGGTTCTAATTTGACAATATAATCTTTTGGCAAACACACAAAGCAGCAGGGAGAGGTGAGTGCCCCTTTGCTGTTAAGTCTTAAAAGACAATGGTGGGGAACCAGCAGTTAGTGTAATGGCTATGTCGCTGGACTCCCACGTAGTCAACCGCGGTTCACGTCCCAGACCCGGTGGCTTAAAACTCATGCTGGGCGCGTGTGCGTGCATGCCCTAGATCCCGAGAGGAGAATGGAGGAGAAGGGATTGCGGCATGGCCATCCCCCCTGGGGGGTGATTTCTTGCTCTCTGTCTCTCTGTCTCTGTCTTTCTGGCGAGCTCTATAGCAAAAACCTCTCCAAAAAGAAAAAAAAGAAAAGAAAAATGAGAGTTCAGTTAAAGGGAGAAGATGAGAATTGCAAACTCATGGTAATGATGGTGGATTCCTGACAGCCTCGAGAAGATGAGAATTGCAAACTCATGGTAATGATGGTGGATTCCTGACAGCCTCGCTATCTGGGGTCTTTACTCTTTCCTCAACCACAATTCTAAGCACAGGGTTGGAAAAAGGATTCCGGGTCCTGTCTAAACATAAGCAGCAGTCACCTGGATTCTGAGATTCTGGAAGTCTAGGCTAGTCCTGTCTGATGCAAAGGTAGTGTAGGCCTTATATGTAATTTAAAATGTTCTAGTAGCCACATAAAAAAGTAGGAAGAAACAGATGAAATTAATTTTAATGAAATTAATTTTAATGATATATTGTAATGAACCAATGTGCCCTAAATGTTATTACAACATAGCTTCCTTTTCTTGATCATTATCTTCATCATCATATTCAAAGGCAGCTCTCCAAGGTCAATAAGAGTCACATTACCACTTCCGATGGACATTTCGTTACCCCATGAGCACAATCCTTCACTGCCCTATTGACCACTTGTACCTCAGGACTCACAGCTGGGTTGGCTCCCACCACACCAGTCTTTTGGACGCTCTGGTCTCTGGTCAGAAACTCTGGTCAGAGCCTCTGTGGCCCACGCTCCACATCACGGGCCCGCTCATCAGCTCTCATGATGGTGTCCAGCATCCTGATGCTAATGGGCCACATGTGGACCTTGAGACCCAGCCCTGAGCTTCGAGCTGAAAACTGAACTCACCTTTCCTCTTCAGACTTGGTCTCTCACCCTCATTAAGGGTCTCACCTTTCAGCAGAAGCAAGTGAAACACCCCTTCTTTGCTCAGGCCCCATAGAGTCACATGGGTTTGATATGGAGGTGACAGAAATAAGGAAAAAAATATAGAAGCCCATTTGTGGAGTATGTGCCTAAAAGATATCTAAATGCCATGTGGTGAATTTTCAGCTGTTTGTATATTCACTCCACAGGGATATTTCTGAGTTGGTATTTTTTCTTTAACATCAGGAGGCATAGTTCAGTGAAGACGCTCTTTAGAGGCGGTACTAGGTACGGTGCCTTGTGCCCAGCACAGAAGTAACCCCAGACAACAGGGTGCTTCGAAAAGCAGAGATGGCAAGTGAAGAAGGTGGGCTTCTGTTGTGGATGGCAAACACTCCTTGCTAAAATAGTTTTGGGATTTTAACGATTAAACTTAAGCTATTGGTTTAGTTTT